GCGATAGCAAATACATAAAATGTTGGTTTATTTCCTGGGAACTCTGTACCACAGGCCAGGATAACGTATAATCACTTAATAGCAGGGTTTATTGCGGTATCTGCAGTCACACAGTGTAGTGCGCAAGGTCTTTTGAAAAGAGCCTCCACTATCTTCTGTTTTGCCTTTTAATTTTCTCTTTACTAGATTATTAGTAACTACTTTCAGAACCTATACTCTAATCAGTTGAAGAATTTAGAAATGGATGGATTCCTAGATACATGTGAATTGCCAAAATTGAACTGAGAAAAATATAAAAATCCTGAACAATCCAATAACAAGCAATGAAACTGAGAAAGTAATAATAATAAATACCAGGTGAGAGAAGCCCACGTCCTGATGGACTTTTTGCTGAATTCTGCAAGAACTTGAGGGGAAAAAAATCTGGTCCCAATACTCCTCAAACTCTTCAATGAAACTGAAAGGGAAGAAAAGTATTCCCAACATTAAGCATTACCCTGATTCCAAAACAAGAAAAAGACCCAAGGAGAAAAGGGCCACAGGCCACTCGCAAGTGAGCATGAAATTCCTCAAGGAGATAATGCAAAACAGTGCAAAGATCAAAAGATCATACATCGTGGCCAAGTAGGATTCATCCCAGGGATGCAGGGATGGTTCAACATCAGCAAATTAATAGACATACTGTATATCATCTAAACGAAGCAAGGACAAAAGTCACGTAATCATCTCAATTGATGCAGGAAAGGCCTTTGACAAAATCTAACACACATGATAAAAAAAATTTTTTTTTTAAAAACCCTTAAGGGCTGGCTAAATAGCTCAGTAGATTAAAGCACCTACAAGCAGGTGCAGGAGCCGGGGTTTCGATCCCTGAGCCTGCCACGCTGGCCCTGCCCCTGGGGCACGCTGAGAATGTAATTGAGACTGGACACGGTGGCCTGCACCTGTAATCCCAGCTCTTGGAAGGCAGTAAATAGGCGGATCACTACAAGTCCGATCTAGTAGCGAGACCCTGAACACCCTTCCCTAAAATAAAATTTTAAAAACCTTAAGAAAAGAGGCATAAAAGGACCTTGTCTGAGTTGATAAAGTCATTTATGAAGCACACACACACACCCACACCCACACACACGCAAGAAAAAAAACCCAAAACCAAAACAACAACAAAAACCCAGCCAACATCGTGTTAAATGGGGAGAAGCTGCGAGTTTTTCACCCACATCAGGAGCAAGACAAGGGTGTCCACCATCACCACTCTTGTTCATTATCATTCTCAAAACATTAGAGCAATCAGGCAACAGAAATAAATAAAAAGGATTATATATGTGGAAGAAAATCAAATTAATGTTATTTGCAAATGATATCATCCTCTACATAGAAGATCCAAAAAATTTCACCAAAACACTCTCAGAATTAATAGCCAAATTCAGGCTAGGTGTGTTGATACACGCATGTAATCCCAGTGCTTGGGAGGCTGAGGCTGCCGTGAGTTCCAGGCTAGCCTGGCCACAAGGCCAGGCTGAATTATATGAGACACTGTCACAAATAAACCATTCAGTGGGATAACAGGATACAAAGACAAAAAGCAATAGCATTCTTGTACACCAATAAACTCACTAGGAAAAAAATTAGGGAAACAATAG